AACTGAACCAGAATTTTCCACTCAGAAGGCAAGAATTCTACTATTGAGCCCCCAAGACATTCTTTCCTACATATACTACTCCCCTTTACTGAATTTGATTTCCAATTGTAAACATTTTTCTTCCTACTACAGATTTGGTATGTGTGCATATTTGTATTAATAACTAAAATAAAAAACGTTATTTTTAGAGACATCAAAGTATTCCAGTTCTTTGATCAGAAAATCTCTTTATTGTTCTTAGAATTTCCTAATAAAACAATTGCTTACTCAGAAGTGACCAAAGTGATTAAGGGTATTTGCATAATCTTGGCTTTTATCCTTCCTAGAGGAATGCCTGTGTCTTTTACCAGGGTTACAAGGCTAGAGTTGCTTTGGGGTATGGTTGATTTCATAGTTGGGGTATGACATGATTCCTTTTTTTTATTTGGTAACTTTTAACTAAGTAAAAGTTTGGATGTTTCATAATGTGTTAAAATAGCTAACTTTGCATTTTGAAGTATTTTAAATTTTATTCTTAAATATTTGAGATTTGATATGAAGGATACGAAACATTGACAAAGCAAAGAATGAGGCAGATGATGATTCCCCCCCTTCCCTCCATATCCGAAATCCACTACTTTCTACCTCTATTATGACACTTTGAAGAGGCTCCCTTCTGTGTTATTGCCACTGTGCATTTTCAGTCTCTTATAGCATCTGGTATGGCACTGTAGGACAAGTACTAGACTGCTAACCACAAGATTAGCAGTTCAAACCCACTGCTCCTCAGAAACTCTGTACAGGGTTGCTATGAGTTGGTATCTACTTGACTGAAATTAACAGCAACTACAAAAGAGGAAGACCCCTAACAAGATGTATTAACACTGTGGCAGTAACAATGGGCTTAAATGTAACAACAATTGTGAGGATGTTGAAGGACTAGACAGTGTTTTATTCTGTTGTGCATAGCGTCACTAGGAATCAGAACTGACTCAATGGCACCTAACAACAACAACAAAGCATTTAACAAGGAACTCTGGTGGTGACACTGTAGAATAATCACTGGACTGGTAACCACAAGGATGGCAGTTCGAACCCACCAGCTGCTCCAAGGGAGAAAGATGAGGGTGCCTGCTTCTGTAAAGATTTATCGCCTTGGAAACCCTATGGGGCAGTTCTACTCTCTCTTACAGGGTTGATTATGAGTCAGAATTGACTTGTGACCGTGGGTTTAATTTTGGTTTTATAGCATCTACCGTTGGCCCAGGATCAGGCAGTGTTTCGTTCTGTTGTGCATAGGGTCTCTATGAGTCAGTACCGACTCGATGGCACCTAACAACAACAACTCTTGGACTATTTTCTATGGCACAAACTTGAAGCACAGAAATCTAATTTTAGGTACATACCACTGATTCACAGGTAGTTAAAATATTATGGGTTTGCAATAATAATCGGGGAGTCCTGGTGTGGCACTGTAGGGTAAGCACTGGACTGCTAATCACAAGGTCAGCAGTTCAAACTCACCAGCTGCCCCTTGGGTCTCTGTGAGTCTGAACCAACTCTGTGGCACTTAACATCCCAGTGATAATCAAGATAGTCATCATTTTGATGAAATCTTTTTCCAATGAACTGCTTTTTGTGAGATTCGCTATTTTTATAATTTTATATCATTACTCTACAATTGTTCTGGTGTACCATGCTGTAATTATTCATACAAGGGAGAGTGCCTGAGATAAAAATACCACTATTTGTAGATGGGATGGCCCAGATGCTGCTGAAAGTGACAAATGATAATCAGTTTGTGAAATGTTCTTTGATCCTGCATATTAAATTAAGTTTAATTAGCTATTAAGAAGCACACAGTGATTATAAACTTGCTCCTAAATTGTTTGCAGAAATTAGATATCTATGTAAGAGAAAAATGGACATTTTGAGATTTTTGTATTTAAATGTAAAGCAGTATGTTGTGAGACATCGATCTTGTTTTGAGCTTTCTTTTTTCTCTCCCTTTTCTTTTGGTCCAAGGATAGTGACTAAGATTTCACATTTACTAATTACCTATAGAAAGTCAGGGAGTCCTGGTATGGCACTGTAAGATAAACATTAGACTGCTAACTGCAGGGTTGGTGATTCAAACTCAGCAGAAGCTCCTTGGAAACCCTATATGTTAAGTTGTTAAGTACCGTGGAGTTGAGTCCAACTCATAGTGACCCTGTACAGGGTTTCCGAGGCTGTGCATCTTTACGGGAGCAGAAAGCCTCATCTTTCTCCCACGGAACGGCCGGCAGTTTCGAACTGCCCACGTTGAGGTTAGCAGCCCCATTCATAACCACTGTGCTACCAGAAACCCTATATAGGGTCACTATAAGTCAGAACTGACTCTGCGGCACTTAAGAACAACAATAGCAAGTCAGTGAACTTTTTTAAACCGCCATCTTTTTTCTTATGTTAAAATAAGGATAATAATATCTCTCAGCATTGTGGCAAGAAAAGCACTTCACACAGACCAAAATAAGTGTTCAGTGCTTAGTGGTAGTAACTGTTACTATTGTGAATGTTTTCATTTTTAAACTGTTTTTGTACTATATTGGGAAACTCTTGGGTAAGTGTTTCAACAGTGCCAATTACATTGGCTAGTGGTTTTAGAGCAAATGTGTTCCTGCTTCTTAATTGATTAAAAAATAAAAAAGACTGCTGCATTTTAGGGGAATGCCGTGGTTCCCTATACGATAAACAATGGACTTTGAAGTACAAGGTCAGCAGTTTGAACTCATCACCCACTCCACAGGAGAATGATGAGGCATTCTGTACCTACAAAGATGCACAGCTTCACAAATGGTATTCATGGTCGCTGTGAGTCAGAACCAACTCAGTGACAGTTAACAACAACAACTGCATTTTAGGAGTCCTGGTGTGGCACTTTAGGATAAACACTGGCCTATTAACCTCAAAGTTGATGATTCAAACCCACGATCCTCTCTTTGGAAACTATACAGGATCGCTATGAGTGAGAACTGACTTGATGGCACATAACAACAACACATTTTAACATTTCCAGACTTCCCAGAGAATGTAGCATCCCTCATCTTTTTTGTTTCTATGGCAAAATGTATAAAATGTTTCAAACGATCAACCTAGAAACACTCTCTTGGGAAAAAAACCCTTTGTAAGTCAGAGAGGCTGTATGTAGTTAATTATTTGATTATTCGTGTATTAATCAAACCATTAGTCCTTTACCAGTCATCACTGAGAAACCCTTTGAGAGCTACTTCTTCTCCACCGTCCTAATCATCTCCTGTATAGATTTGACCTCCTCGGATTCTTTGTTGTTGTTAGGTGCCATTGCGTCAGTTCCATAGCAACCCTATGCACAGCAGAATGAAGCACTGCCCAGTCCTGCATTATTCTCACAATGGTCATTACATTTGAGCCCATTGTTGCTGCCACTGTGTCTATCCATCTCATTGGGGGTCTTTCTCTTTTTCGCTGATCCTCCACTTTACCAAAGCATGATGTCCTTCCCCAGGACTGATCCATCCTGATGTTCAAAGTATGAGAGCCAAAATCTCACCATCTAGGATTCTAAGGAGCATTCTGGCTGTACTTCTTCCAAAACAGATTTGTTTGTTCTTCTGGAAGTCCATGGTACTTTTAATGTTTTTCTCCAACACCATAATTCAAATGCATTGATTCTTCTGTGGTCTTCAGGTTTTTAGGTTCCCTGATCCTTCTAAATTGCAATGACTTTTCTAAGCCACAGATATTTTCTCTAAGCAGAGATATTGGGAAGCCAGTTGCGTTTCGAGTCATTTTTGTCAGTTGATGTCAAATATTTTGAGAACCCCCTATGTGAGAAGTAATGAAAAAAAAAAAGTGAGGTATTTCCAAATAATACTTTCCTATTATCCTCTTTAAAGATATATATATATTTGCAATTTTCTATTCATGATTCTGTAAGGAATATGAGCATGAAAGGTTTCTATTCAGTGGTTTTGCTAAGACCCTGGTTTGTTTTAATAACCGTTCATGTTTAGCATCAGATAAGAATGGGTAATTTCACTTACTAAGACAGTATCTTTTGAAGAATATAACATGCTAGCATATACAAGTGATGTTGTATTTCATTCTGAAGTCTTTTGTTTAAGCCACGGCATGCTCAGGCAGTGTATCGGCGCTCACTTGCTAATGGCTGTGCCTATGACTGCATGTATTTTCATTTGCTGAATTGATGCTTGATAAGAGAAATGCAATTTCAGATTTAAATAGAAGTGCTTTACTTATTTATTTTCTTATGGAAAGAAAATTAGGCCAATGGTGTTAAAAATCCAAGCACAGTATTCCTAAATTAAGGTTGTGCAATGTCCATGTACACTATGTGGGGCTGTGGCCTTTGGGGACATTACCCTGCCAGTCTCCAGCAAAACTGGAAGCCTTGACCTCCACACCCAGGAACAGAGGTCAGAAGATTGATGAATGCCAATAATGAAGCATCAATTCAGCCTCTCTAAAAAACAGATTTTTCTCATTTAAAAAAGCTAATAAATGGTTTTTCATTAGCTTTTCATTAGGTCTTTTACCTTGGGCTCATATTTTATATTGTATGGATTCCTGTCAAAGCGCAAGATACAAGTGTGTTCTAAAAACATGTCGATTTAAATAAAGTGAAAATTTCTTTGGATTTAATTATTTCCTGTAGCAAAAATTGGTAGATGCGATCAATGAAGAAGATAGAGATGAGGTCCCATGAAAAGCAGGATGGGGTAATAGATATAAGCACAGACACTGGAACTAAGGTTGGCTTTACCACCTATTCTACTCTATTTATGTGCTTCAGTTTCCTTGGTCATAACATGGGAATATTAGTAAATTGTTTTCCTATTTTGTTACTGTGAATTGTGCTACAATGAGCAGAGGTGTGCATATGTCTGTTGGTGTTGCTTCTATTAGATCCCTCGGGTCTATCCCTAGAAGTAGAGCCTGTAAAGTATTTGATTCTGATGGTTTATTTTCTTTTCTCCCAGGTATGGCAGCAGCCAAACTTCTACATCAGTCTGGCTTGAATGTGGTTGTTCTGGAAGCCCGGGACCGTGTAGGGGGCAGGACCTATACCATTAGGGTAAGACTTTAAAGGTGGGCAAAGAAAAGTGGGACCAAAGCTAATTTGGTTTGTGTTTTTTTTTCCCCTTAAAAGTTAAACTTTTATTTGACTCTTTCTGAGAAGGTAAAAATCACTGTAAGCCCTACACTGCAGACTATCTATCAATTAGTCTCTTTTTAAATTCTTTCTTCTGTCTCCTTTTCTCATCTCACCATAGAGTGGAGGCAATTGTGTGTGTATGTGTAGTTGTTGTTGTGTGCAGTGGAGTCAGTAAAAAGAAAAAAACCCCAAAATGATTTGTACTTTCTGTCCTTGATTTCAAACTTCAAGGCCTTTCTAGCACCAACATAATCATTCCAGCCAACTACACTAAGTAAACTAATTTTCCTTCTTTCAACTTGTTGACATAATTTAAAAAATAGATTCTTTATTATTTCATAAGTGGTTTTATTTCAGTTGCTGGTTAATTGTTTCAATTTTGACTCCATTGACTAAAATTAATTATTTTCTATTCGGTTGAGCACAAAGCCTAGAAAAACAGATTTCTCTGCCAAAAAAACAAAACAAAACAAAACAAAAACCCGTATTTCCAGACTTTCAAGATTTGAATAATAGAATTAGATGCTAAGAGAGCAGTTTCATTCCCAGAAAGATATGAAATATAAAATCCCAATTATAGCTTGTCTTTTAGGAGAATTCTTCACTGATATATGAGTATGGCTAGCATTTTTTCCCATTCTTATTTTTAAGTCCTTGCATTCACCATTGAATTTATCTTAAACAAATGCTTATTGAATGTTCGCTGTGTGTCACGCATAGTGATAACCAAAGCGTGACCCTGCCTAAGGAGCTCGTAGTCTCCTGGGGGATACCTACTCATTTGCAATTAAAATTATAATAACAGTTTCAACTCATCAAGAGACATACTACGGTAGGGGTGGTGTCAGGCTGGAGAGATGCCAGAGGTGGCATGGGAGGGTATCTCCCCTAGTCTTGGGAACCAGAAAGATTTCTGCCTAAAAGCCTAGTTTGCCACTGACCCTGGCATAACTCCTACACTCTAGTTATTTGTGATTCTGAGCAGCTCTCCAGTCTTGCAGTAACCCTTCTGTCTCTGGACCATTGTTGAGGCCATTAAATTTAAAACCAAACCTGTTGCTGTTAGGCAGATTCTGACTTATGGCGACTCCATGTGTTACAGAGCAGAACTCAGCTAAAAAGTTTTGTTGCTCATAGTTTTACAGAAGCAAATCTCAGGCTTTTCTTCCATGGAGCGGCTGTGTCGGTTTGAACTGCGTTTAATTAGCAGTCAATTGTAGACCACTTGCACTGCCCGAGGACCTTGTTTGTGTCATTTTTGTTGTGTTAAGTGCTGTCAAGTCAGTTTTGATTCATATAGATCCCTGTGAGGGTTTCCGCAGCTGTAAATCTTCACGGGAGCAAAAAACCTTGTCTTTAATCCATGGAGCAGCTGGTGGGCTCAAACCACCAATAAGCAGTCCAGTACTTATTGTATCCTGTTGATACCTTTGTTGTTGTTAAGTGTCTTCGAGTCAGTTCTAATAGCAACCCTGAATAGGTCTTCTGAGGAGCACCTGGTATGTTTGAATTGTCAATCTTGTGCTTAACAATCCAGTGCTATGCTATAGTGCCACACTCCTGCCCCTAAAACACCATTACCTACCCCTGAAATGTCTCTTTTACCATTGGCACATAGCAAAACCATGGCCATCTTTTAAATTCTAGTTCATGTCTTTTCATGATCTCATCCCTTCTTCCTCTTATCAGATACTACTTGTCTTTATTCTGTGTTAATGTTGTTGTTGTTAAGTACTGTGGAGTCGGTTCTGACTCATAGTGACCCTGCACAGGGTTTCCGAGGTTGTAAATCTTGACGGGAGCAGAACGCCTCATCTTTCTCCCGAGGAACTGCTGGTAATTTCGAACTGCTGACCTTGAGGTTAGCAGCCCGATTCCTAACCACTACACTACCAGAGCTCCTTACTTATCAGTTCCACACACATGACGATTATTGCATATTGTCTTATAGGTTCTTACCGGTGTATGTCTTGTCTCCTCTAGGTCTTGGAATTTTCATATAACACATACATCTGATACATAAAATGTTTTGTATATAAAAGAGACTCATTGAATGTACCAATTTGTTGAGTGTTTTAAACACTCTTTCATTTATTCAGCAAAACAATGGGCAATTACTATAGGTACTCCTCTGTCAGTTTGTTGTACTATGGTGGCGTGTGTGTTGCTGTGATTCTGGAAGCTATGCCACAGGTATTTTGAATGCCAGAAGGGTCACCCATGGTGGACAGGTTTCAGATAACCTTCTAGACAGACTATGAAGAAAGAGACATGGACTACTTCCAAATATTTAGTCATTTAAACTCTTATGAATAGCAGTGGAACACTGTCAGTATCAGATTGTTGAATATTGAAATATGATGAAGAACACCAGAATATTGTCACATATAGTGCCAGAAAATGAGACCCTCATGTTGGAAGGCACTCAAAATGTGACTGGGGAAGAGCTGCCTCCTCAAAGTAGAGCTGACTGTGATGATGCAAATGGAGTAAAGTCCTTGAGACCTTCATTTGCTGATGAGGCACAACTCAAAATGAAAAGAAACAGTTGTAAATATCCATTAATAATCGGAACATGGAATGTACGAACTATGAATCTAGGAAAATTGGAAATTGTCAAAAATTAAATGGAATGTATAAAGATAGATATCCTAGGCATTAGTGAGCTGAAATGGACTTGTATTAGCCATTTTGAATCTGATAATCACGTGGTTTACTATGCCTGGAATGACAAATTGAAGAGGAATGGTGTTGCATTCATCATCAAAAAGAATATATCAAGATCTGTCATGAAGTACAACATTGTGATAGGATAATATCCATATGTTTATAAGGAAGACCAATGAATACCACTATTATTCAAATTTACACACCAACCACTTAAGCCAGTGATGATGAACTGAAGAATTCCACCAGCTTCTTCAGTCTGAAATTGATCAAACATGCAATCAAGATGTATTGGTAATTACTGGTGATTGGGGTTCAGAGGTTGGAAATAAAGAGGAAGGATCAGTGGTTAGAAAATATGGCCTTGGTGATAGAAATGATGATGGACATTGTATAATAGAATTTTTCAAGACTAATGACTCATTCATAGAAAATACCTTTTTTAAACAACCTTTTTAAACCAACATCTCACCAAATGGAATACACAGAAATCAAATTGACTACATCTGTGGAAAGAGATGGTAGAAAAGCTCCATATCATCAGCCAAAAGAAGGCCAGGGGCAGACATTAATTGCTCATATGCAAATTTAGGCTGAAGCTGAAGAAAAAAATTTAAAGTCCACCATAGCTAAAATACGACGTTGACTATAGCCTACCTGAATTTAGAGATCATCTGAAGAACAGATTTGATGCAGTAGACACTAAAGACCAAAGACCAGAAGAGTTGCGGGATAACATCAAGAACATTATATTGGTAGAAAGCAAAAGATCACTAAGAAGACAAGAAAGAAGGAAAAGATCAAAATGGATGGCAGAAGAAAGACTCTGAAACAGTGTAGAGATGCTAAAACAAATGGAAAAAGTGAGGAGGTACAAGAGCTGAACAGAATTGTCAGAGGTCAACTCGAGAAGACAAAGTCAAATATTATAACAATGTGCAAAGGCCTGGAATTAGAAAACCATAAGGGAAGAACATGCTCAGCATTTCTCAAGCTGAGGGAACTGAAGGAAAAATTCAAACCTTGATTTGAGGTACTGAAAGACTCTATGGGAAAAATATTGAATGATACAGAAAGCATCAAAAGAGCCAATGATCCTGAAGGAAGAAGCCCAGGGTGCATTGCAGTTATTGGCAAAGAACAAGGCACCAGGAATTGATGGAATACAAATTGAAATATTTCAACAAACTAATATGGCACTGGAGGCACTCAACCATCGATGCCAAGAGATTTGGAGGACAGCAACCTGGCCAACTGACTGGAAGAGATCCGTATTTGTGTCCATTCCAAAGAGAGGTGGGTGACCCAGCGGAATGTGGAAATCATAGGACATCAATGATATCCCATGTGAGTAAAGTTTTACTAAAGGTAATACAAAAATGGCTGTGACCGTACATTCACAGAAAACTTCCAGAGGTTCAAGCTGGATTCAGAAGAGGATGTGCAACAAGGGATATGCTGCTGATGTCAGATGGATCTTGGCTGAAAGCAGAGAATTCCAGAAAGATATTTACTTGTGCTTTATTGACTATGCAAAGGCTTTCGATTGTGTGGACCATGACAAGCTATGGACAACATTGCTAAGTATGAGTATATAAGGAAACTGCATGTAGACCAAGAGGCAGTTGTTCAAACAGAACAAGGGAACACTGAGGGTTTAAAATTAAGAACGGTGTTCGACAGGGTTGTATTCTTTCGCCATATTTATTCAGTCTGTATGCTGAATAAATAATCCATGAAGCTGGATTATATGAAGAAAAACATGGCATCAGGATTGGAGGAAGACTCATTAAGAACCTATGATATGAAGATGATACAACCTTGCTTGCTGAACTGACCTCTCTACCTTAAATTTATCTTACCCAACAGATTCTCTCAAAGCCACTGTTTTGATTAGACGTATTTTGGAAGGATTCTTATCAATGGAGAAAAGATTGAAGTTGTCAAGGAGTTCATTCTTCTTGGATCAACTATCAACACTCGTGGAAGTAGCAGTCAAGAGATCAGAAGTTGTCAAGGAGTTCATTCTTCTTGGATCAACTATCAACACTCGTGGAAGTAGCAGTCAAGAGATCAACACTCGTGGAAGTAGCAGTCAAGAGATCAGACTCGTGGAAGTAGCAGTCAAGAGATGTCAGCTTGAGGACTAAGGTGTGCCTGACCCAGGCCATTGTGTTTTCAATAGCCTCATATGGATGTGAAAGCTGGACAGTGAATAAGGAAGATTGTAGAAGAATTGATGCCTTTGAGTTGTGGTGTTGGAGGAGAATACTGAAAGTGCCATGGACTGCCAAAAGAACCAATAGATCTGTTTTGGAAGAAGTGCAGCCAGAGTGCTCCTTGGAGGCCAGAATGGCTAAGCTTCGTCTCTCCTACTTTGGACATATTGTCCGGAGGAAACAATCGTTGGAGAAGGATGTCATGGTGGGTAGGGTGGAGGGTCAGAGAAAAAGAGGAAGACCCCTAACGAGATGGATCAGCCAGGTGGCATCATTGATGAACTCAAGTGTGGCAGCAGTAGTGAGGTTGGCCCAGGATCGGACATTGTTTCATTCTGCTGTGCATGGGGTCGCTATGAGTTGGTTCTGACTCGATGGCACCTGACAACAACAACAACAATTTTGGAAGGCATCCTAATGAAAGTGTCAAGTGTAGATTTAGTGAACTCGTTTTTAGCTATCCACTGATTGCTGAGAATTCTTTAAACAATTTTTACTTATAATTAATTCATGAATGTATGAACTAGAACCTTAGTAGTAATACTTTTGGCTTACCCACAGTGAATAATGGGGTTCAGAATTCCCTTGCCTGTTTTAAATTGAAAATTGATTTAATAATTTAAGTGGAGTGAATGAAGTTGATTTGAAAAGAAAATCCAGTTGTCCATAGATACACCTCAAGGTTTAGCTACAATCTATGACATGCCAATGTATTCATTTGCTTATTCCACAAATATCCATTCTATTATTTTTTTTTCATTGAAAAACAGAACCAAAAGGTTAAATACGTGGACCTTGGAGGATCCTATGTTGGACCAACCCAGAATCGTATTTTAAGATTAGCCAAGGAGCTAGGATTGGAGACCTACAAAGTGAATGAAGTACAGCGTTTAATCCACCATGTAAAGGTAAGTCTGGGCCAGCCTTTGAAATCTTTTAAGACTTCTATGGATATTCTCATCTATGATTTGCAGGTCATTCTACCAGAGAATCTTTTGCATGTCTGAATCATCTATGCAGATAAACTTTATAAATATAGTTAAGCTATTCTGAGAATACATTCACTCTTATCATAGAGAAATTAGGTGAGGAGTCTAAACGTTTTTGGGAAGATTATTGCAGAAGAAGTATCATCCAATTGGTAAAGCCTATAACAAAACCAATAGATTAAAAATAAAATTGAAATTTATTTATTAAATACCTCTATTTAAAAAGGAGCTCTGGTAGCATAGTGGTTACGAATCAAGGTCAGCAGTTTGAAACTACCAGCTATTCCGTGGGAGAAAGATGAGGCTTTCTGCTCCCGTAAACATTTACAGCCTCAGAAACCCTGTACAGGGTCTCTATGAGTCGGAACTGACTCCCACAGCACATAACAACAACAATAACATTTAAATAAAGGTATTTAATACCTTTATTATTAACAGTCTCTGTTTCATGTTATACAAAATCTTGTGTACAGTTTTACAAACGCTGTGCCAGAATTCACATTTCTTAGAGTATTTACAGTATATCTGGAGTCCTAGTATTGCACTATAGGATAAACACTGGACTGATAACTACAAGGTTGGCAGTTCAAACCTACCAGCTGCTCTTTGGAAATTCTACACAGGGTCATGATGAGTCAGAACCAACTCAATGACATAACAACAATGCAGTATGTCTAATGGAATATTAGGAAAGTTTATCACTTTGTCTCAACTAAGGTTACTGTTCATTTGAGATTTGCATAAAAGTGGCTCAAGTTCTATCTTTTGTGGGAGATCTACTGATCGGCTCAAGATTTTCATGAATTTGCTGGGTCTCTTTTTCTCATGATCATTGTGGCTCATGATTCCTACTTCCACTGACACTGATACTCATTCACATCTCACGTCCTGGGACTCCCTTTTTCTATGGAAACCCAAGTTCAAACTAGCCTCTCGGTCTTAATTTTCTTCAGACCATCCAATACATTTGTATGCAACACATTTGACTGAAGTTTTGGTCAATGGGGTGGTTTAAAACTTCAGAAATCCAAATACCTTAGAGAAAAAATATTAGATATTCTGACTCTAATAAACCCCTGGACCATTGCACCTCTGGAGGTTTCTCATCAACCACATTTCTCTAGGAATTCCAGTTTCTCATCATGTTCTGAGGATCACCTCAGAATTCCTACCCCATGTCTTTGTTACTCTATTTTACCCATACCTTTGTCTTGGTCCAAAAAGCCATCGATGTTCTTTGATGAGCTGAGAGTCAGCTAACATGGGTTCCACTATGGAGTCCCACAGAACTGGCAGAGGTTTTGAATTTTAATCATTTTTTTTTTCTCTTCATCATTTGTCTTGGTAGGTAAAAGTACACATCATAGAGACATATTTTCACATAGATAGAAATCAGCCCCATAGGCAAGACAGACTAGCAATACTCAAGGTTTTTTGTTTTGTTTTGTTTTGTTTTTTACTTCTTTTCATTTTTTAATGTAAAACTACAGAGAGCACAGCAGTTGCTGAGTCAACATTTCTTGCATATACAATTCAATAAAACCAATGCCATCAATCCTGTTGTATAACCATCTCCAATTTCATTTACGTAGACATTTTCACACCCTTATATGTCTGGACTGCAAACCATAGGTTGGTGGTTTGAGCCAACCAGCTACTCCACAGCAGAAAGATGAGACTTTCTGCTCCCATAAAGATTTACAGTCTCAGAAGCAGAGTCACTACAAGTCGGCATCGACTCGAGAACAGCAACAACTACATATTATATGTGGACGTCCCTGGGTGGTGCAAACAGTTAACATGCTTAGCTGCTAATTTCAACCAGAGGCACCTTAGAAGAAAGACCTGGTGATTTCTGAAGAAACAGTCATTGAAAACCCTATGGAGCACAGTTCTTCTCTGATATACATGGAGTCAGTCTTGACTCTATGACAATCAGTGACTGGTAATATTATTTGTGGGCGATAAAATCAAGAAGTACAAATAACACATCATACCTTAAAGCAGGAAATAAATATCTACCCAATTTGGTATAGTGTGGGTAAAACATTTGCTAATTTATAAAGAAATGCGTTGTTTGACCTTAAATTTGCTTCCAGATGTGTCTAGCAGAAAAAGAGATCCATGAATTAAAAATAAAAGTTTAGCATGGTGATGCCAAGATTTATTGGATCTAATTCAGTTGTTATTGTTGTTGTTAAGTGCAATCGAGTCGATTCCGACTCATAGAGGCCTTGTACAGGGTTTCCTAGGAGCAACTGGTGACCTTGAACTGCCAATTTGACAGTTCAAACTGACTTTGCAGTCCAGCACATTAACCCACAGTGCCACACAAGAACTGTTGTTGTTGTTAAGTGCTGTTGAATCGGTTCCTACCCACAGTGACCCTGTATAGGGTTTCTGAGGAGCGGCTGGTGAGCTTGTACCACCGATTTTGCGGTTCAAACCGATTTTGCAGTCCAGCGTATTAACCCACAGCGCCACACCAGGACAGGTGCTTAGCACATTTCCTTTGTTCAGTTCCTTGCTTTTAGAAGTAGGTCACATTAACCTATTTCTTGTGACTTTCTTTTCTGACCTATAAGACTAGCAGGGACTGACTTCCTAAAACACGGGAATCTTTTCTTAGGTTACTTCAGATGAAGCAGGTGACCCAAGATTATATTCATTTACTTTTCTGTCTTTGTGTTTGCTGGGTTTCCCTTCAGTTCAGAGCTCTTCCCCAGGCACCTTACTTTTTATGTTAATTTAATTTAATGGCTGACATTAAGTTCCTTGTTTGAAAGAGATTGTTCATAGTCATCAACTGTAGAAATGGTGTTACATTTAGATCATTTTTACAGTGGTTGGTAAATGTGCTGCTTTAAACCTATTACAAACAATTAATATGCAGCTAAGAAAAAACAAGTAATTAAAGTAGTATCACATATGAAATACACATACCAAAAATGCTCTTTATAATATCTTGAATTACGATAAATGTTCTTGCTTTTTAGTTATCACAAAAGTAAAGCATGTTTACTCTTTAAAAAAAAATTATTAAAAGAAATAGACAAAGAAAAGAAAATTTAAATCCCCTCCATAATCCAACCTAGAGAAAATCACTCTAAAATAGTCTCTTGATGTATAGATTTTCCTATTCCTGTACTGCTCTTTTCTGACCTCTGGTGGGCTAAATGGGAAATATCAGTATATTTATGTATAAAATATGCAAATATGTATATGTTATATGTAGGAGCTCTGGTAGCATAGTGGTTACGAGTCAGGCTGCTAACCTCAAGATCAGCCATTTAAAACTACCAGCCGTACCATGGGAGGAAGATGAGGCATTCTGGTCTGGTAAAGATTTACAGCCTCAGACACCCTGTGCATGGTTGCTATACATCAGAACTGACTCGACGGCACACCACCATCACCCACCACCACCATATGTTATATGGAGTCCCTGCATGGTGCACATTAAATTGCTTTTCCAAAATATTGGAAGTTCTTTCAAGTTCCTTGAAAGAAAGGCCCAGAAATCTCCTTCTGAAAAACCAGCCATTAAAAACCCAAGAGAGCACAGTCCCACACTGACATATATGAGATTTCCAGGTGTCAGAGTTGACTTGATGAATATGTCCATTTCCAGACTTATTGACAAGAACTATTACATTCTATCTCTTACAGAGAATGTAGTTGAGAGATTTGTTTCCTCTGTCATGATAATCAGTATTTTGTACATTTGAACATTACCCTTTCTTGCTTTTTAAAATAACTACTCTCTAGTCTGTCAGTTTGTCGTACTATGGTGGCTTGTGAGTTGCTGTGATTTTGGAAGGTATGCCATGGGTATTTTAAATACCAATAGGGTCACGATTGTGTAGATCATGACAAGCTATAGACAACATTGTGAAATATGAGTATTCCAGAACACTTAATTGTGCTCATGAGGAATTTGTTGTACTTGGACCAAGATGCAGTTGTTCGAACAGAACATGGGAACACTGAATGGTTGAAAATTAAGAAAGATGTGCAACAAGGTTGTATTCTTTCACCATACTTATTCAACCTGTATGCTGAGCAAATAATCAGGGTTCTATGAAGAAAAATGTGGCATCAGGATTGGAGGAAGACTCATTAACAGCCTGCAATACGCAGATGACACAACCTTGTTTGCTGAAAGTGAAGAGGCCTTAAAACATTTACTGATGAAAATCAAAGAGCACAGCTTTCAGTATGGAGTACATCTCAATGTAAAGAAAACAAAAATCCTCACCACTGGACCAATAAACAATATTCTTATCAACAGAGAAAAGATTGAAGTTGTCAAGGACTTCATTCTTCTTGGATCGACTATCAACACTCACGGAAGCAGCAGTCAAGAAATCAAACGATGTATTGTGTTAGGCAAATCTGCTGCACAAGACCTTTTTAAAGTATTGAAGAGCAAAGATGTCAGCTTGAGGACTAAGGTGTTCCTGACCCAAGCCATGGTATTTTCAATAACCTCATATGCATGCGAAAGCTGGACAGTGAATAAGAAAGACTGTAGAAGAATTGATGCTTTTGAGTTATGGTGTTGGAGGAGAATATTGAAAGTGCCATGGGCTGTCTAAAGAACTAATAGATCCGTTTTGGAAAAAGTGCAGCCAGAGTGCTCCTTGGAGGCCAAGATGGCTAAACTTTGTCTCTCATACCTTGGACATCTTGTCAGTAGGCACAAGTCGCTGGAGAAGGGTATCATGTTTGGTAAGGTGGAAGGTCAGAGAAAAAGAGGAAGACCCCCAATCGGATGGATTGGCCAAGTGGCAGCATCAATGGACTCAAGCGTGGCAACAGTAGTGAGGTTGGCCTAGGATTGGACAGTGTTTTGTTCTGCTGTGTATAAGGTCGCTATGAGTTAGTACTGACTCGATGGCACCTAACAACAACAACAA